TTTGCTCAGTTGACCAGACCGCTTCATTAACTAATAACTGAAGGTCATATTGACTTTGCCTGGACATGTGAGTGCCAGTCGTCATTTGACCTGTTGACGACCTGATCTTCAAAAGCCTTGGTCCTGTTGTAACCAGATTTACAGCCGACATGGTATTGGAGCTGTCTTAAGTCAGGTAAAGGATGGGGTGGAGCATCCTGTTGCGTAAGCCGGACGAATGTTGAAGAAAGAAGAGAGGAATTAATGTCAGTGTGCAACGCAGAAAGAACTGCTTGTCGCATTGGAATTAGTGAAGAATTTCCCAGTGAGCCAAAACTTCACATATGAACCGACCATGCACCTCTCCGAACTTTGCTTAAGGTCCAGGAACCAGAGGGGCAGCTGGCCAGGCCGATGGAGTTCCGAACCGAGAAGCTTCCAGAGTAGCTGAGAGGTTAGTGGGTGAATTTATCTGTTGTTTTGGAATTCCAAGGGCGATATAGAGCGAGCAAGCAACTGACTTCCTGACTTCGAGTCCAAAGTTGTGTGAGAGATGTGTAAGCTCTTGGACATTGAAAACGAGAAGGACCCCCACATCCACAGTCGCAGGGCTAAGTAGAACGTTGCAATTGAATATTGAGTCAAGATGATTGGGACTTAAAACTTCCCACGGTTCACAGAAGTCGTCAACGATTCCACGGGATGGGAAATTGAAGTGTCACAGGATGTAATTACTGATGTCAGCCCCGAACGCTGTTCCTTCATCAACTGAGTATGCGTTGACCCTACGGCAGAGACTTGCTAGCGCGTACGAGACAGCGCGGCGTCACTTAGGGAATGTGGAAGAGAAGAAGAAGAGAAAATAAAACAAGCGAGTATCCAACAAACCTTTTCGAGTTGGTGACAGCATTTGGCTACACAATATTCGAAGAAAGGAAGGCAGAAATTCACTCGACCATCGTCATTACCCTACATAATGGTGTCCGTTCTATCATACGTAACATACAGCAAACAAAGAGTTCGAGCGGCGAAACCAAAGGAGATTCATATAGATTGCATTAAGCCGAACGGGAAGGAGCGCATGACAGCGAAGCCCGAAGGACGTCTCCCAGTGGGAGGCTTTAACTCGAGCCCGCGTTAAGGAGCTGGGTCTCGAAGGGAGAGGACACTGTAATGCCTGTTGCATCTCCCCTTGATGTTACTGAATATTGAGCCTGCTATATTACAAATTAAGGGACTTAATGCATGCCTATCCCTTCCTTGGGGTCGCCAGTGTTGTTGCATCTAACAGCAACGCATCATACTCGCATGTCGAATTTCGACATAAATACTCCGCTGCGCATCGTTTTTTCAACTCTCTTCTCAGTGTTTCATCTGGTGATGAAACACTGCGTCTCATACTTGATATTATTACATAAAAATTAGGTAGGCGCAAGGCCAGGACTCCATCATTTCGTTAGCACACTCTCACTTAAACACAGAATCGGCTTTGTTTTCTTACTCAGTATTTCAGTGGACTTGCCATCTCCTTCTCGAGGCTGCGCAGTAATAGTGATGACGTCACATGGATTTCCTCCTAAGCTGCTGCAGAGCGTCATTCGGCGGTAATAAATATCTTTGGTGTTTAGAGATGACTCCAACCGTGACAAATGACCCTGCAACATGAAACAGAACGCGTCAAAATCAAAACAACATTACCACTAACACAAAACAATATCTTAAGTTGCATCCAAATCAGAGAGCCACGTTAGAGGAGATTAATGAATGCATTCTTGCACGAACCTACCTGAAGCATCGTAAATGTATACGGATAGTGATAGGCAAAGTAACACACATCATTCGCATGAGGAAATGCAATAGTGAATGTTGAAGTGTAGTAAGTTTTTCCTCCTAGCCCACCGGTTGCCTCGCGGCTTCGAGTAAAGTAATTTCTATAATAACAGACATTGGTTCCTGCTCGAATCCATCCTGCTCGACCTTCTTGAGCTTCTATTGTAGAATACATGACCGGCTGCATTCCTAAAAGAAAGAAAAAATGTGCATCTAGGTAAAGAAACCTATACCCTGTTGCCCAGAGACAAGGCGACAAAGCTGATGGACAAACGGGTTATAGGTTTCGCGGCAACCATAAACGTTTGCAGAAAAGAAATTCAGGAAAGATTTCTACAGGTCGTACCAGCCGTTCATTGTGAATGGTTTTACACAAACAGTATATTACTTTCTAGTGATGTATAAGGTGCGGCTTTCTCTTACCGAAATTAAACTGACTATTTATCTTCTCACAATTGACGATGTTGAATTTGTAAGGAATTTCAGCGTTCATATTGCTGACCTGAAAACAAAGCAAAGCCAATTTTTAAGCTATTTGAAAACTTTTAGCTCCTAAAACTAAGCTTCAAGAAATGAGATGTAGGTGGGATGAGCTGTCTAGACCCTGGAACCTTTAGTTTACACCAGACCAAGTTCTGCTGAATTTTGCCACCCAATACTACACTAAACTGCATAATCCTTCCCTATCCTATCCCTTACTTTAATGAGCATCAATTACCGGTTTCCCTAGTCTTACCTAAAATCGTCAACCCACTGAACATGTTCCTAGAAAATGATGACCTACAATACTCTTCACAGCGGCACATACCTATCAAGCATAAATATGGTCTAGAACACCCCTCCCGGGGGGGGGGGGGGGGCAAACCCCCCCCCCGGGGGGGGGGGGGGGGACTCTGTGACATTCCGCCGCACGCGAGAAAAAAAACCTCTGGTACCCAGGGTACGGAGCTGACTCTAAAAGAGCATGCGAGTAACACTGGATTTGCTCTGGATTTGCCCTTCGAACAACTCGACCCAAATCTTGGAACATTTAGCAACCAAAGACACCCACCTCGAAGTAAAACCATTGGTGATGGTGCTTACAGTTGATGTCCGGATTCAGGACCAAATCATATTCGTAATCACGCACCTAAAAGAGTACGTTGTAGAGTAAGATGCTGAGCCTGAAATGTGCTACACACATCGATCTCTATTTAGCTCATATGTGACTCTGTCAAACAATTAGGTTACAGAATTTTGTTAGAGTTACGCTTAAGGTTATATATTGATGCTAAATGCGAGGGCAAAATACATCTTTGTATCAGGAGATGTTGTAGGTAGAATCGATCTGAGGTTAATTCAGTATTTAACGTACTTTGATCCAGAATTTCCCGTTTTCAAGCCTTAATTATTCATAGAAGACAAAGAAAATTCGGATTTAACCTAGGAGCAGATTTTGCCTTTCACAGAGGTATGTTGGCCTTCTTTCAAACCACCGAAAGGGTCGATAATTTTTAATTTGTTGTTTGATTAAAGGGGCTGCGTCATGGCTGTCTGGTTCATTTTGTTAATAATGCCAATTACGCGTCCTTATTCGCTATGAAACTTGAGAAATTACATGCTTATGACAAATCACAGCTTCGTGTCAAACATGTGTCTCCCAAGCATTATATCAAACGTTACAAACAACAAAAATGAGCTTTGAAAACCTGTTAGACAATCTCGTTCCCAAGGTTCTCTCCAAGTAGGAGAGAGAACCTGGGAACGAGTTGACTGTTAGACTAACAAGGTTTCAAAAACTACAATTGCAATCCGTTTTTATCTTCGTCAATTTTGTCCATCCGTGGCTCGTTTGTATTTCCGGTGTTACTTACACCTTTTTTGAATGTTTTGAGCCCTTATTTTTATGTTCCACTAAGTTTGGTGGCAGTTCCTACTATTTAAATTTTGACAAATTTTGTGACACAGCTCCTTTAAGCTTACCAGTCAGGTGTTCTGCTGAAACGGATGGCACGCTCTTTTACTAGTCGACAAATCCAAAACGTGGAAGAAAATTTCCTGGACTTTAATTTTCTCTTACAAAACGCAGGGAATGATTGATGAATGAAATGAAACTGAGGAAACTCGAAAATTCTTGGGTCCTACAACTAATGCATATCTTTTGGTTCTTTTGCAATTTGGAGCTGTACCTGTGTGTAGCTTCTAGAAGCTACACGTCAGCTATAACCAGTCAATATTATATATGACAATTCTTCATTTAAATTTCTAAATTGTTAATACAGTTTCATAACGCAAATGCTGCAGTTTTTTTTTATCACATGTAGTTTTTTGTTTTTCTTTTGTTTTTGATTAGGGTAATGTATGGTAATGTATGCTAATGAAGTTAAAACAAAGGAAAAATAAAAATTACCTGAGATAAAAAATCAACGACAACACAAACACCAAACTCTGACCTGAATAGCTTTTCGAAGATTCCCACTTTCAAACCTTGACTCAAACTTCAGAGGTTTGGCTGTCTCTTCAGGAGATCTTTCGCCCTCCGATATACTGTAATAAGAACAAGGTCAAACGACTTACAGCTAACACTGTATACACACCCAAAGGATTTCGTTCAAACTAAAACATTAGAGCTCCATTATTGTAATGAGTGTGTCCCACATTTATAACAATAACAGTGGCCAGGTAGTTGAGAGGTTAAGCATCACGTTTACGTCAAACGGCAAACGCGAATTTGTACCACGTGACCAAGTTTCCTCTTTACTTGTCGATTACTGTTCATTATTTCCACACCTAAATTAGTAGTTTCACGACATTTTTGCCATACGAATTGTTTTGAGCTGTTTTCATCTGTGCATTTTCTAATTTGAGAAATTCTCAACATGAAGCCAGGGTTGTCACTAGGATTTTAAGTTGCCGGGTAAACAAAAAAAGAAGGCGGGGAATCCGGGGCCACGTTCATAGTAGCCGCGGGAAATCTCCGGCCCCCGCCTCTTAATAGGGACCTTAAGATCCAGGACGGGAGCGAGGACGACGGCCGACCGGAAGTTGTTTTCCCATAAAAAGCATGCGCATTAGAGATCTGGTTTGTTTTCATGGTTGCGTGACCCCGTCGTGACTCCGTCGAGGACGGCAAAAACACCAGTCTGACGTTGTGCCCTCTGTGTACTTGATTTTCTTCGGTTGTCTCAGAGATTTAGTCCTGTAAACTCGTAATGAGCTCTGCTCAGTTTGTCTCGACCCCCTCCCCGTCATGTTCAAAGGAAACAAGCAACAAAAAGCCAGCGTAAGTAAATATTTTTGTTGGCTCGTTTTATGTTTGTTGTTGGCTTCTATCGTGCAGATGTTGCAGGTGTGATTTGTCTTTTCCTGTCATTTTTCTGCTTTCAATCATTGTTTAATGCTTATATAAATACCACTTTCAGAGTCATTCTTTTTTATTGAGTTTCCACTTGCGACTGTCGTACGGAGTTTATATTTTTCGTGTATTCCGCGTGAAAGAGAAAAACAACTCCAGGCGACAAACTTCCCAAGAGTGTTTTTCCTCCCTTTATAGAAATAAGACTACTTCTGTTGTGTTTCTGTGGAGTTTTGACTTGAATTGCTGAATAGCTGTCTCAACCCGGCATTTGTCAAACCTTTCGTTTTCCTCTCCAGTGGCGTGCGTTTATCAAAACTCCGGAAAACATTTCGGGACCGAAATTTTTCTTGTCGGTTTTCTATTGAACAACTGCACTTACTAGTGCCAATATTTTTGTATTAAATATTTTCTTGTATACAACCAACCTCTTCGGCATTTTTTCGTAGCTCGATAGCTCTTTGTCTCTTCCCTTTTCACAACAAAGTTTTAAAATAGGTCTCACTGTTCCTCACACTTGAATATGCTAAAATTACACATCATGCATGTGTTTTTTAACTTCCTACACAGTTCACACATTATATTTATTTCTTAGCATTATATTTGTTTCTTACTACCAGTGGGGTTTACCTTTCATCGTAAGGCGTTTCTTTGTTTTCCTCTATTAATATGATAGAGTTTTTGTAGATTGTGTGTTGTTTCTTTCACTACTGTCATTGATAGTTTATTTACTATGCCACATTTCGTATGACAGGATGTTCTGGACAGAGGAACATGATGTCATTTTAGTCAGAGAAATGCTAGCGAACAGCCCCTTTGCTGGCACAAAACGTGGGACAGTTCAAAGAGGTCGGAAGTGGAACGAAATCTCTGAGCGCCTTTTGCAAGTAGAAGCCCCCAAATTTAAGGTTGACCAGAGAGGTGTTAGAGAAAGGTATGGTCTACTTGCCAAAGCATACAGGAGGAAAATTAGAGAGGAGGAAAGAGCAAGTGGGATTAGCACCCCAGAATTGACAGAGGTAGAGCAAGCCCTGGAAGACCTCATTGTGAGAGAAGATGAGGCTGATCGAGACCAACAGGAGACAGCAGCACAAAAGAGGAAGGTAAAGGAAGATAAGAAAGATGCTGAGGAAGTGAGAAAGAGGGCAATGGAGAGGCTGGGAGACAGAATGAAAAGAAGTGAGATTGAAGGAAAGGGGAAGAAAAGAAGATCAAGTGGAAACAACACCCTGGAGTATCTAAAGGAGAGGAATGAAATGTTGGATGAATTTAAAAAAGAGGAGCTGGAGCTGAAAAAGCAGGAGTTGCAGCAAGAAGCCAAGAAGAATGAAGCTATGATGAAGTTGATGAGCCAGCAGCTGGCACAGCAACAGAAGCAAATTGATGGATTCCAGACCATGATGATAACCATGTTTTCTAAATTTTTGGAGAAGTGAACAAGAACTGCTTGAGCAGATTTCATATGAGTGTGCAAGTGCATGATAATGATATTGAACCTTGCCTTCTTGTTGTTCTATTGATACTTACAGTGTATTTTAAATGTTTTGAGTGTCAACCATTTTCTCAAATATTGTATTTCAAAAAGAGCATTTAGAATTGCTATACTTGAAAACATGTTGAAAAAAGTGTTACACTTGTTCTAACAAAAACAACAGCATAGCATATTACACTGTATATACTTTTTTATCTTGGATTGTAGTAAATAAATGATTACTTCATTTTCATAGGTTTGTTCTTCAGTTTTAGCATATAGCATAATATTGGGGGTGGGGGAAAAAGACCTTGTTTTCCATACGAATCACTGCTTACATTTGGAAATTCCAGAGGGGTGGGGGTGACATTGCACCCCCTTCCATGGACAGAGTATGGATATTATTTTTTTGGTGTCAAAATCCTAGACACAAAAGGCATTTTGGAAATCTGTGAAGCACTGCTCATCATACTAAGAAAGAAATTGATGCAGACTTAACAGTATCTGGGCGACAGCTGCCATTAAAAGTTTTGTCAAGAACCCTTGGTTTCCTGTAATATTTCTTATGTGTATAATTCCTTGTGGAGATTTTCTGTTAAAACAAGCCTACAAACCAAAAACATTCAGCTATGCCCTCAAGTATGAATGACACTTAAGCAAAGTAATCTTCCAGAGATGGAGGGTCTAACTGGAAAAACTCAGAGGTTGTGTTACCATAAAGGCAAGTAAGTGCATTCCTAAGTAAGGCACAGACAATGTACATTTTCCCAATGGGGCTTAAATCCAGCTTCAAGTCTTTCTTAAAATCTAAAAATTTAAAATAGTTAATGATGTCCCCAAAAATCCACTCGACTGAGGAACGAACTTTACTCATGGACTCATTGAAACTTTGCATCTGATGTGTCAGTACTCCATACTGAAATGGTCTTTGCAGATGAACACGGTGGGGATATGCTGGATCACCATAAATACACATTGCCTGGCCAGTTGGTGAAAATGCATGCCTCTCAAGCTCATTCAACAGACCAGACTCATCCAGCATTGATGCATCATGTTTTCTCCCTTCTGTAAAAGAGATATAGTGGAGTTTTGAAATATTGTTGATGTTGAGCTTACAATCTTGAAATTTAATACTTCCTTCAAACCAGCTACAGTAATACTATGTAAAGCCAAAACCCTTGTGACCTTGATAGATATGTGTGCTTATTTGAGGCTCAACTCATTTATGTAGAAATACCTACTAATAAATTAACATATAAGTTTTATGTTGTCTCCCTATATACATCTGTTCACAGGTACGGTAAGTTACAAAACAAATGTGTCTATGTCATAACGTACTGCAATGCATGTGAACTCTGACAATTCGTGACAGAGGTCACATGAATAGAATCATTTGAGTTCAGTCTGAAGAAAAAAGCCAACACTACAAGTGGCCAAGGGATTTAAAGAAATCATATGCCTCATGTTTATACCTTCCCATTGCCTTGGTTTTAGCCGAAATGAATAATTCACTAACCTACAGGTCCAAAAAGATTTGCGATGAGGCCATTTGGTAGAGCAACTGACTGAAATTTTAGTCCATGTACACGTTTGTGTCCATTGTATACAGCTCTTTGCATTTCCCCAGGGCGACAAATGGGCCTGACCGTGCCATCCACAAAACCAAAACAATTATCCAGGGCAGCACCTTTTGCAAAAACTGCATCTGCATAGACTTGAAGGCTAGCCGAATCAAGAAGGTTGTGATTGTACTCGGTTATTCTATGGCCATGGAGGTTGTAAACGAAGTCAACTACTGTGTTACAGATCATGCTCATCACAGGAACAGCGTGACCAAAACGGGGAATTAAATCTGAGTACCTGCAGGGGTAGCTAAATCTTTTCAGCATAATGCATAGCCCTTCAATGCCATTAGTCACGGATCCCTGGCTGCAGGTGAAAGTTTCGGGTAAACCAAGGACTTCTGCCAGCACCGGGATGTCTTCTTTATGGAAGCGAAATTCCGCTTTACATTCATCGTCCTCCATATCTTCAAGATCAAATTTTCCATACTCTTCGTACGGAAATTCGGGATTTTTCGATCGATTTGCATCGTATAGCAAGCAAAATTCCTCGTCGCCTATCACTCCGTTGTCATGACATAGAACCAAGGCATCTCTTGCATGCTTAAAACTCATTTTAACGCGTATTTTTACACACAAAACATAAGATAACAAGCTGAACAAATCAAGCAACAGAGTTAGAGGAAAAGAAAATTTTTTTACTACGACATCAGCTAGATGACGAATTAAGCTGCCATATAAGCTTAAAACTTACGTCATGTTTTGAAGCCCCCAATACCCAAGATGTAAGAAAAAAACGCTTCCTAATCCACGATATGAAATGTTTAACATGCTGTAGAATAAACCAAAATGGCCAAAATATTCTGGAAGCAAAATGGCGTCCCCGTCGGCAACAATCTTAAGCTATTTATCCATCGCGTGAGACGGGGACCTAGGCCCAGTCCTTACCGTCCTTTGGCGCGCCGTCGTCCTCTCTCCCGTCCTGGATCTTAAGGTCCCTAATGACAGCCCTGATGAAGCTTAAACTCTCTATTACCGTATAACGTATTTCAGTATGCCGAGGTACGACAAACCTGGAGTTGCTAGGTTTACGGGCGTGTCCAAACTTGAGCTGCTCCTTAGCTACTGCTAACAAACAGTTATCGTCCGCATCGGGCTCCTGCTGCTTCATTATTCGATCCAAGTCAAAAACAACTTTGTTTATGACTCTTTGAGGATGAATTTGACGCTCAATATCCCTGAAGATCATGGTTCTGGAAAAAGGGTGAAAACAGAATGCGTTGCAAACTGGGTTCTCATTCCAAATTCCAGGAATTTAGCAAGAGTAAAATAAAAAATTAAAGGTTTTTTATTGGGTTAATTTCCGAAAGAAAATTATTCATAGCCTTAATTCTTCCACTGCATTCTACGCCCCAGTCACACAATAAATTATTCGCTCCAAATCCCAGACGTTTTCCCGGAGTGGTGGAAAAGAAAGACATTCTGCGAGGGTCTTAAAAGGCCCTGGACCCCGTGGAGAAAATTTTTAATTTTCAATTACGCGGTAAAATGAACCCTGCGTGTTAGCGTCGAAAGAGCTGAGCACGTAAGGTTTAACAAATATCCATGAGTCCGCGCTGGATGCGTGGTGAAAGAGAGACGAAACTTTACGGATACGAACAATTAAATAATCATCCCTTCAGAGCACTCCAAGCTGCGACCGTTTGGCTCGCCATGGCGTAAAAAAAATGGCAACTAAAATTACATTGAAAGTGGCCAATTAGGCGACGTGTTTTCGGCGTAGAAACGTGAGAAGCTGTAGCGTTTTAATTAATAAATGGTTACAGTAAGATGGAAACATTTGCATGGCATTTTGTAACAGACTCTTATCTGTGTTTTAAAAGGTTTTCATGTCACCAGCTGGACTAAAGTGTTCACTTTGAGAAAGTTCGCCTCTATTAATACATTATGATAGATATCATTTCAAGCTACAAGCCTACGTGTAGTGGACTATAGGCGACTCGCATACCTCTGAAGCCCTGTTTTCTTCTGTCCCAAAGGTTCAGGTTCAACTGGTGGGTAGTGTCCATAAATATCAGGAGCGGGTGTCTTGATAATTGGCAGGACGCTCTTGCACTGTCCGTAGTTATCAGCAGTGGGATTGTCATCTGAGTAAGGTCTTTCGTCTTCTGTAAGCTCTTCCTGTGTTGCTGTGCCTTGCGTCATCGTTTCACTCGCTTTTGAATGGTTAGGTGGACTTTGGGAGATTGAAACACAAAATAAGAAAAACCAAGGATGGAGTAGCTTTTTTCTTCATCTCGCCTGAGTAAAGTGGGTACCCTGTGAGCAGAGGTTTCTTTCCGGTATGGCGTTTTAGCTTTCACGAAGTCGTTCTCGTCACTAGTCAGTCGCGTAGTTGGTTTGTTTACGCCCCCAGTTTCTCTCGGAGGGAGGTGGAGGTAAACAAACCAGCAACGCAACCGACTAGCGACGAGAACGACTTCGTGAAAGCTAAAAGCCATGCTGGAAAGAAGCCTCTGCCCCCATGGTAGTTTTAAGGAAAGATAAAAAGCGAGAATAAAGGCAGCCACACAGTTTTCTGGAAAATACATCGCTACCCTTTACTGTAAAATTGAATCAGTAGTTTTTGCTGAAACAGAATAATAGTTATCGCCGCAAACTAAAGCCCATACATGTGTTTTCAGAAGCTTCCCAAACGGAATGGCCGAACCATTTGATTTTCCAACCGGAATTTCCGGTTTTCCTATGTAAATGGATATTACCCCTTGTGTGAATAGCGAGACAATAACTACGCTTGAAAAAATTCTTCGTAAAATTTCACCCTCCTTGAAACAAATATTTTGGTAAAACATGAGAACACTGTAATGTAAGTGAACATCACGACAAAACAGGCAAGTATAGTAATAACCCCGTCACGTTTGTCACGCACGAAAGGTTTTGCCGTCCTGTGGGGTAAGCTAACCGGTAATTACCAGTGGCGGATCCAGACCTTCAGTTAAGGGGAGGGGGTGGGGCGACGGTCTGAAAAAAAATTTTTTCCGGCCCCTCGGGCCTCAGTTTGGTCTAAAAATAAAGGGGGGGAGGGCGGACCCCTCCTTTGGATCCGCCACTGATTACTTATGAACCATGCAGGCAATCGCTTGTTGGCTACGTACACACGGCACCGGATAAATAGCTGAAAAAGTTGACCGAACACTTCGTTAACACGGGACCGTTCAATATTTATTTACACGGGCCATTGAACGTCTGGGCGTCTTACTTTTCTTTATTTCGTGTGAACTGAACACCTAAACGCTTAAATTTTCAACGGGTCGTCCGCTGGTGTGAGAACGTAGCCGTGTAAGGTGGGTAGTGCTACAGTTGTACAATTTAATTTAAAGATGGTGCGATTTTCGTATGACCT